CGAATCGGCAAACAATCTGCAATATAAATTTTACTACCTTTCAAAAACTTATTGACAAACAAAGTGCATTGCATTAAACTGAATGTATGAATATCGTGCACCAACAAAACATTTGGAATTTTGAGACTCATTATCAGGCTAACAACAATGATAAATAAACTGAAGCTGTAATCAAGCCTGAAAATGATAACATTCATTTGCCATGGAGTTTTCAGAACCCCATGTCGTCGTCTGCATTGCCACGCTGAAGAAGTAATACAGAGTTAGTGCTCCAAAAGCTCGATGGCAATTAACTTTTAAAACCAAAGTAGTAGGTGTTCTTCAAAGAAAGACTTCAATGGGACCTACGCATTGATCTTGGACTCAAGCTTCCAGATATTTGCTCATTTAAATAGATTTATCCATTTAATTATTTGAAGAATTTGCTTTTGTTTCGCTCCTGCAACGCTATTGTTTGGAAGTGATGCGAGAGTCTGCTTCAGTGGGTTGAGGGGGGGTGGTGCTGCCAGCCACTCGACCCTGATATTTTGTCATGATTAAAACTACAAAAGGTACTCCATTGCTCTGAATCCTATGGGCTAGTCAAAGGTTGGGGAGTCGCTGGCATTAGTTTACGAGGCTGGCAGTCTAAACGAACCACCGCACAGTGGTTCGTCGCCAAAAACGTCAAAGGCAAATGGAAAAGAGGAAAACCGGTGCCGGCTGCTGCGTTGGCCCAAAACAACGCATACGACTCAGTAAACAACAGGATACGATTGGCAAATGGACCTGAAAGGTCCTCGTGATCATCCATAATGCAATAACGCTATACGCATTTTTCTGCGTATGCATCATGAAAATGGGAAAGAACACGGTGGACGTCATTGGAGGATGTGAAACTCGAAGTTCTGCTGTCGCGCAATGGAACAACACTGATCAAGTGTTTCTCAAAGAGGCCTTCGTTTAAACGTTTATCGTTTTAATCTATCTAATTCATTGGACATATTCAGTTGTTAGTTTGACGTATCGCGCATTTCTGATAAATTTTGGCAATAACGTCGATATCCCAGAGAAGAGTACTTCCAATTCAGTGGCTATGAAAAGAAGAAAGTTTTGACTACTTTGTCCATCATCAGAATATACTCTCTGCAACGACACGGTTGTCCTAGCAAGACTAAGTCCATGATAGCGGATGCTGAACTTTCACGTTGTCTTCCGTCTTTGAACTTTCGTTATGCCTAAAACAAGTGACCTGCAAAATTTCTTGCTCATCAGAAGAATTCTTCTTTGAACCGATTAGTGATGAAGTGAATTTCAGGGGATGCAACTACAGTAAGAACAACGCTGATAACAACACGATTTCCACTTTTTGCTGATTATCACAACTGATGGTCAACCATCAGGTGGGTAAAAACTGATTGCAGCTCTAAGAGGCGCTAGTGTCCGACAGCGTGACCTCGCCTCTCACTAATCCTGACATGATCACACTCAGAACACCATCCGAGTTCTATTATTCATAGATCGAAGTCGTGCTACCCGTTGTTCGGCTAGTTGTACCGAAGCAACCATGAGTGAATTCCTTGTTCAAGTTCCCAGTTAATGCTTAACATGATTTTTTCGGAACTGGTACTCAGGAACTTTGGAACTCGAAGCCGCTCTCTCATCACTGTGCAACCGCCCCCTCCGGATATATAGATATAACATAGCAGATGATATTTCGATACGATATCTCACGATGTTAATTTCGATGCTTTTACCTCAGCTGGTAATGAAGTGACTTGCGTTGCTCTCTTTCTGTTCAGATTTTACTCCTAATTTTGTAAAAATGTTTTCCAGCATTTAGGATAGAAAAAATCTCCTTGGTTTCGAACACTTTATAACGTCCCGTTTCATCCCAGTTAAAACTCAACGAATAGCTGATGTTGCAATCAGTGCCGCAAATGGACTTTGTGACGGCTGAGCAACCTTAATTGACTCAATTATTAATGCAAATGTTCCAGTTAAACTGCTGCTTGAATTTTTGGAAGTGAAAACTTTCGAACGGCATCAACAGATCAGGGTAGAAAGGTAGAGAGGGTTTTAGGAGTTTGTTAGGAGCGAGTTAAAAAATATTGGAGGATTTCCACGATTCAAAGAAGCATTGAATTCGCGTTCTGTCTTTAAAACGTCATGTCTCAGTTCCAATTTAGTGTCTCAAGTGGGATGCAGTTCAGACAGTAACCTGGATGCTTCTGCGGTATTTTTGGTCAAGTAACGGATCATTATTGGCAATTGCTACGAACTGCGAAATTCGTCGAAAGAACAGTCATCCTGCACATGCACCAGAGGTCGACTAGGAATCTCACAGTCAAATTGGGACTCAGACTTTTACATGCTGAAGCTATACCTATGAACAATACACAAATGCTCGAGAAAAGCTGTAATGATGAAAATAAGTAAAAATATTGTACGTAGATTCAGAGGTCGGTAATGGAGTTACGGCTCAAAGTTTGAATTTCACATTAACAGCTTGTGCAGCACGTGAAAGCTGCCAGGTTTTCGCCATGTCCTCAGGCTTTTCGGCCCCCTTTGAAGATTTCCAATTCGCAATCGCCGTTTCAAATATTTCATTAGCACAGGAACATCGACCCGTAACAGCTTCCGTTCTGTCTAATCGTTTCGACAACATATGCTCTTTGCCCCCCTGAAACCGGATCTGCCGACAAAATAGCTCCACTCGTGAAACGCTGGTCAAGGGATAAACATTTCTTCGGCAGCTTCGTTTTCAAGAGCGGTGGTGGCACGTTTGCGGTTCCACGTTGGCAACCTCAAACCTCAATCGATATGCAACAATCATATTGTTCAGGATGCAATTGAAATAACATTACTGAAACATGTGCATACTACTGCATTGGAACACAAACAGGAGTGCCAATTCAGGAAATGGCTCCGCGTTCTCTCTCCAATCAACCTTTGATGCAGGAAATAAATACTTGGTGGGAAATGTAGCAAAAGGGGAAGCTTCTCACGGTCACCACAATTACAGAATGAAAATGACCTGTGCTTCTCAGTCCATGATTCAAGACAGAAATGGCTGTTGTTCAGCACAAGGTACAAACGAAAAATTTAATAAAAGTTTTTATTTAGCCTCGTTCGACAATAACGAAACAACAACAACCAAAAAAACTGTGCAAATTGTGTGATTCTTCGAAGGATGGTTGAACGGCTAGCGGATTTACTGATCGTGTATCACCAATGGTGTCATTACACTGTATTCTAGGGTCACTTGGACCATTTAGACCGGCCGGTAATCAACAATGAAGAGCACCGACCGCAACACGCCCGCCATGCCTGGCGGTTTTAAGCTTTATCCCTCCAAACGCGACCTTCCTGTCATCTGGTATTTTCTTTCCGCCGCTGTGTGGGCGACCAGGCGACCTCGTCCGCCCATGAGGATACCAGTCGGTGATTATCGCTGACCATCTCTCGCCGGTAAGCCGAGCCACATGCCGGCTCACTGCAGCTTCTTCTTTCTGCCATCAACCACATCGACCCTCACTCCCTTTTGATCATCGTGTTGGGCATATGATCGCGACGTGAAATTCTAAACATTCTCCTCGGCATGACTCTCTCAGTGACAAATAGCTGGCACTGTTCGACTTCAGCAAGTGGCCACGTCTCACAGCCTTACAACATTGCCGGCAATATAAAAGAATGAATGATGTGGACGAGGACTTCTTTCCCGATGTTGACGTCCTTGACGAAAAGGAAAGCGCGCCGACTGGCCCTTTCTCTTCGTTGAACCTCTCCAACCTGATGCTGCTGCATGTTGAATTAATGGTTCAGGTGAATGTATTGATCGACTTCTTCGATCTTTAAACCGTTTAGTATCACC